GATGCGCTTATACTCGACACGGGTGAAAAAATCGCGAGAATTACTGCGAGCCGTTTTCGACGAGTTGTCGCCTCATTCTAAAAAAATACCCTATTTGGCAGTCTGGTGTTTCACCGAAATGAGCGGCAACACCGGAAACATCGGCGTATCCCTTAGCAATAAAGGAGGTTGCCCGAAGGATGCATTAGAAAATACTGATTATCAGTCAAAGCAAGCCAGAAAAATTCAAGAAGCATTAAACAAAATTTGCTCATTTAAGACGATACCTGACTAAAACAAACAATGCGCAGCCCCAGACGACGCAACAACAAAAATCACTAGGCCATTACCACAAGTCACCACTCAGAAAACACTTCATTCTTCGTACTTAACATCCTAATAGCCCAAACTTGGTCGAACCACAATATTTAACTTCAGAGAAACATCCTAAAAACCAAGCGAGAAAAATGTATAAGTCCAGAGAAAATCTTTCTGCCAAAATTTTTTTTGGCAATATCACATCGTTCAGAAATTATCAAAATTCTTCTGAATTTCGGGAAAAAAAGGCGGAATATTTGTGCTCGAGTTGGTTTTTTTCTACGTGTGCTCGAGTTGAACTTCAACTTTTTCTCGACATTGGAAGACCTTTGTGAAAACTTTTCAAGGTCGTTCAAATCACTTCTGAAAGGGCTCCACTATGATATCACTCGACCCATTCCGATTATGATTTGTGGTACCAGATTTTGCGCGGAAAATAAAACAAGGAAAAGCAGCAAAGATAGCCGGTTTCACAGCAAGTAGCGGAGAATGTTCCCAACCAATATTCATAAAAACTACAAAAAATTCTTCAAATTATTAAGTTTTTCAAATTAGTTTCGTTTTTTGTACGTGGTGTGATGAGAAAACTATACAAACGCGTAGAAAGTTAGTACATAAGGCATATTCAACAACAGCTGTCTTCAAAAAAAAAGAATAAAAAAAGAGTTTGTCTATTTTTTGCACAATATTCTTTAATTTTTTTAAAAAACTTTTCTTGTCCGTTTCCCTAATAGTTTCCAGAGTTATGTTTAGTCTTAATGACCAATTTAACAAGATATCATCGCTTTATCCGGTCGAAATTAGACGAAGCACTAAAAAATTTAAACCGGTTATTCTCGACCCGGTTTTTCTCCACACTGGGACTTGTTTTTAAATTTTTCAAATGCCGTTCGAATCAAGGCTGAAAGGGCTTTTTTTTTGATATATCACTCAACCTAGTCCGATGATTATTTGAAGTACCTGATTTTGCTTGGAAAACAAAAAAACTAAAACACCCGAATACAAAGTTCTTCCTCGTTTTCAATGGTCGGAAAATACTAAAACACACCCGATTTCAAAATTCTTCCCTATTTTTTTCAAATGGTCGGCGCAATTAAAGCAAGCAATTTGTTCGTTTTATCATTAATTAGGTTGTAATTTATATAGCAAGTAATTTGTAATTTATATAGCACTTCGTAATTTACATAGCAAGTAGAGAAAACAAAAAAATGAAAATTTGCTCATTTTTTTCTAATATTCAATTAGTTTTTAACCAAATTTTTTATGGACCTGAAACGGCAGCCGGATCATTAAATGATTCGCCCTGATACAAGCTGTCTTGTTCTATGAAATATGTTTCAATTCAAACTTCAGTAGAACAAAACGGTTTCAATAAAAAAGATTATTGCAAACCGAAATCATAAATGTTAAAGGATAAACCAATTCGTCGCTTAAAACACCATGACCATATTAGCGCGCTTGAATATCAAACTATCATTTATTGTCGATTGAAACCATAAACTTTCAGAGGACAGTAAAAACAATAAATCAAAGGAAAATGAGAAGAAAAATCTACAGAATTATATGGCGATTAAAATTTTGCCAGTGTCCGCCTTTTCACAGTTGATACCGTCTCACAAAAAAGGATCAATGAACAAAAAAAACGAACAGTGAAAACTAATTACGCGGAAAAACAAATGAAGCTCAACGATACAAGGGCATAACTTAAAACAAACAAAAAGCAATCAAAACATCACAAACTCCTCCCTGCAACAGAGTGAGCGAGTAACCACAGGCAACCCGCATCTCCAAGCAAACGAAAACAATCAATATTATCTCAACAAAAAACTAACTTCAACTTAGATAAATTTCTGACCTCTTAAGAAAAATGACCATTATCCACAAAAAAACGGAAAGAGAACATGTTAGCTGTTAAACCTTTAAGGGGAACCGTTAAAACCCCAGATAAAGATCTACATAGATATTTTGCTATGTTTTAGCTTCAGAAAAATTAACCTTTTTTAATGTGTTAGCTGACCTGACCTATCAAGTTGGTCCCATCTACACTTTGAGTAGCCCTAACAGTCCTCTCCACATAAACTCCAGATCCATTGGACTCGTTCAGGTACACATCTGGAACAAGAAAGAAGATTTACTGATTTAAAAACCAAGATCTAACTATCACTGTCGAAAAAAAAATGTCCGAAGATTTTTCCTCCTATTTCGTTCACGTCATTAGCTTAATACAATATTAAGGATGCGGACTAGTTAGCCAAATCTAACATAATTGATTTTGACCAAAAAAAAATTTTGACCAAAAAATCGCGTTTTTTCAGCGCGCGCTCCCCCCTCAAAATTAGTGTATATTGGCGCCGAAGGCGCCTTTAGACAAACTTTAGGGTCCCTCAGCCAAAAATGCATATCTCAAAATAGTACCAAGGGGTACCCTTTGGGTCGGTAGGTGATCAAATCCCTGAGATGGGGCGTACGTACGCCCCCCCCCCCCCCAAATCCGCCCCTGCTCATTTGCAACCTTGTAGACTCAATTGTTAGACAATAAACTGATAGTTATGCGAGGGGGACGGGGGGTGGAAGCCGAAAGGTGAGATGGAATACTAGATTCTACAGGCTTAGATTACAGAAGTCCATATTTTCTACTCAAATGAGGTAATTCCTAATTGGAATTTTAACTACAAATTACCGAACGGTATAAATTGCATAATTTGTGAATTATTTTAGTCTTCAACGGCACTTCATCAGAGAAAACTTCATTATTTAGTCTTCATCAAAGAAAACACACGAACGGGCCTAGAAAATTGATACGCCACAATTTGCATGTAGTCGGATCAAATATGAAAATTACGCTTCACGTTTCTTTAGCCGATAATGCAAGAAAAACAAACTGAAGTCAAGATTTGCTTGTTTGTCAAATTACAAAATGGTTAAAATTGAAATTATATATGACAAAAAAAAAATTGATTGATAAAGAAAAAGATGAGACACTTGACCGAACTTTTAAGTCTGCAAAAAGCAAATTAAATTATCTCAAATTCATTGACACACCTATCGCTTTTTTGGCCACATAAAAATCTAATGGTCCGATTCTAGACGTACAAATGATGGTCCTACAATACAATTCGCCGCATTTAACAAATGGAGCTAACTGCTTTTATAAAGCTTTCTAAACAAAAACTTCTCCGATTGCAGCTTTGATATTTGAAGATGAAGCAAGTTTCACTAAGTAGTTCTCTGCAACTTTTGCGGACGAGCGTGAAAAAAAGAGGCCAATGAACTATTTGTGGTTGTTTTTTTTACCTAGTGATGGAATGACCTCCCCTGACGAGTCCAAGTAGACTTTGCTGTATTCTGTTCTCACTCTCTCCATCGTCGCCGCCACTAAGTTGTCCGGCAGTGCATTTCTATGAACAACACGCAATTTCTTCATAAACATAGACAATGGTGCTCAGGATAAATTCTCCAATAAATAACGCAAATCAGCAGAAAAGGTGGACCCAGTCAACTTGATTCGAAAATGTGGTAACTCATTCAAAATATCTCGATAGGAATCGGTTCAACGGCTTGGCGTTAAATGTAAAACAAGTCCAATATTGGAAATTTGTAGGTGGTTTCATAATACTTATCGATCAACCTTGCTAGTCTAATTCTGGAAAAACTAATTTCATTTTAAATTCCCACGATCATATCCGTGAAGCTGCTGAATTTGAGCACGTATTATTTAATGCGCATCTATAGAAGGGAAGTATAAAATAACCAAACTAAAAACGAACCTCAGTAGATCCATGACAGCATCAATCGCGTTGCCCTCAAACTTCTTCCATTCAGTCTGTTCCTCCTCATTTGATTCGCTGAAATCTCCGCCAATCGACTTCAAGTAGGGCGAAGCAACAAGCACGATACAAACGCCGAGCACCGAGGCCAAGAACGAAGTGCTGAAACAAAACTGAGGCAAATGAATCAAACGCAAAAGCGAAGCTGCACTTAATATACACAAACTCAAAAAGAGCTCTTCGATATGATAATAGGTCTTGAAAGAACTGTTTTCGAAACAGAAAACTGAGTCTGCTACGGGATTCGAACTCGGTCTCCAGCTGGCTGCTCAAAACCTCGTTTAATCACTGTGATACGTATCTCCTATCCAAACTCACATCGTATGATCATAATAAAATGCAGAATTGCATGAAAAAAAAACTTGCACTTGCTCGGAGAACCAGTTGATGGTTGAGATGCACTTGCGTAGGACAAATTTTTTTATCATGCGAATAAAACGAACAAACTAAATTAGTTTCTGACTGCCAATAGCAGATCGTAGAAGTAATTCTACTTGCATCTTCTGGTGGTATCGATGATACTGGTGCTTCTACTAACCATATGTAATATGTAACTACCAGTCCTCCAATTTTGCTACCATCAGTTCCATCTTTCAGCGAGCACACACCTGAATCATCGACAAAAGTAAGTTAATACAGATTCGAAGTGGAGCTTAATACTACTTGCTTTCATGGAGAAAAAGCTTTTGGTTGATAAACCAATATTTGTCAACAGTTAAACGAGGCAGAAATCAGCCTTAAGAAATATCAAATAACTTAAATATGGGAAGAATACGATTTGAACAATACGACTTTGGCACAAAATTTTTCAATCAGAAAAAACCAATCCGCAAAGCCTTGAAAACAATAGTGTGAACTATGCACACAATACAATGTCTTACCTGATATGATGGTAATAACAATCAGAGGCGCGATCATCATTTTAAGCAGTCTGAACATCAACTCCCCCGGGAACGTGATCAAGTAGATAGCATAGGGGGACACTTCGACGGCGAACAATCTCAATAAAACCCCTGTTACGACGGCCAACACAATCGATAGCACCGTCAGAATCAACAACAGCTGTTCCTTTATTCTCTTCATCAGAGCTCCCATTTGGAATCAGATACACGGTTTCTCTTGAATCAGAGTTGGCAAAATCAATAACTTTATTTTGCTATGAAAAATTGTTTAAAATTTCAAAAATACACAAAATTTTAAAATAAACATTCAAAGTATGAAACTAACAAAAGATCGGTTACAACTTCAAAAATACACCACCTATTAAAACAAACATTCAAAAGTATGCAACGAAATATCAGTTGATACTTTAAAAATACGTTCTTTTCAAATTAACACAATCTTTGTAACTAATGAAACATAGTTAAAAACCTAAAAATTCAATAAATTTTTTAACGAACATTCAAAGTATGAAACTCAAGGATATCTTCAACTAATATTCTGCCATTCATCAGTTTGGATAATGTTTTTATCAGCCACAAAGAGCTTTCTTGCCAACCCTGAAGTAAAATAATCGTCTTCTTTAGATAGCAGCAAAGTAAATCTCACACCAATTAATCCAGCAGGATAGTGATTTGATTGATGAATGAACTTTATCGCAAAATAAATTCAAGATAGTATAGTATGATTATTGTGACCAAGTAAAACGTTTATCTTCGTATTTTCATACGCTCCAGTAAAACACCGACAAACTATTTCCGCCATATATTTTTTCTGAATCGTTGAAACGAAAAGCATGTACACGACAAGAGAAAATTAATCCGATGAAAACATGTTTGTAAAAAGTCTTACTAAAACATGCTTGTAATAAGTATTACTTCTTTTTGCGATCATGCAAAAAATAAGTCAACGAGAGGTCTCTATCAAGTTTATTGATTTGAGTGACTGTTGAGTATAGAAAATTATTGAATTCTTTTAAGCAAACATCTATGAAAGTGAAAAACAAAATGGCACAGAAAAAATCATCAATTCGACCATGTAAAGAAAAAGAAGAGTAAGCTATATCTTTTCAAATCAGCTAAACTCAAGACTAGCAAACCCAAAAATATTTCTCAACAGACTAGGTATGAGTTTATAAAAAGGAGTATGTTCATTTATGACCTCAAACTATGTTCAAAACTTATTTGAAGAAAAATAAATCAAGAAAAACATGATCTGAATTTAGTTTCTTGCAAAATGAAGAGTTTGCAACGAAAGTTTAAGGATGGTCAAAGATTTGTCAAAAAATTATGGCATGTATCTGATTAGCAAGACGCATAATGCCTGATGATACTTATCTGTTCTAGTAATTTTTACTGGAGCGCCCAATTCGTTATGACAATGTCTGGAATTTCTAAAGAACAATTTTAACTTTATGAAAAGGCAAAAAAATCAGTCGTCTCGGTTGAAGAAACGTTGTTGTCTCGCACAACAACCACAATGTATAAATGATCCGGATGGATAACTTCGAACTACCGTAAAAACTTTTTTTATACACTAGTAGTTTTGTTTAACTGCGTTAACTGAAGCGAAGTAAGAAAAAACGAAGAACATGCATGCCAAAAAGTCTTCAATTTTCTTCTGATCTTCCGACCGCCGTCTTGGTTTTAAACCAGAAGTTAGCTCCGTGGCGACGGCTAGTCTCAAAAGTTATCAAAAAGAAGAAAACTTCGCTGCAGAGTCATTTTCGATTTCGTCAAATTCGCTGCAGCGTCATTTTAGATTTCGTCAAATTCGCTGCAGCGTCATTTTCGATTTGGTCAAACTCGCTGCCGACGTTATCTAAGAACTCCGTTTTCATTTGATATGTTTATGTTTATTGCATAATTTTCATTCGAAACTTCATTCCAAATGAGTACCGCGGTTCGGGTACACACGACCCCCACAGAAATTTATCCGAGTCAAATCCCGACGAAGAGCTACTTAAACCGACGTTTCTTTTTTTAAAATGACGTGTAAGAAACACTTCGTCGATAACCAGTTTCGTACACTGGTCGATAGACAGTTGTTTTGAAACAATTTTGTGAAGTACGGATGTATTTATTGGTAAAATCCCTCACAGGCGAAGGACCGAAAATAGAAATCAACCAATCAGAATTCAGTATTCCAAAAACTGGAAAGAAAGCGTGAAAATCTGAAAGAAAGTGGACCTTTCCAGGGAATTACAAAATAATATTGTCCGAACATAAAAACGGCAGAAATAAGCAAAATTTTCAAATTTTCACTAACGGCCGGCGAATTGAAACAAATTTTATATTTCAAGAGTTTCGTTTTAAGAAACGCAAAATATTACTTCATTTAATTCATTTTAGTTGAACGGCAGTTAAATCATTTTATGAATTGACTTTAGACTGTTTTTGTTTTCTGTCCTTCGCCCATGAGTTTTTCGCCCATCCGGTCGTCCTTCACCTATGAAAATAGGCTCCGTATTTGTTTGTTGGCTAGTGTAACTTTAACAAGCAAAAATAGTGAGAGATGTTTGTTTCTTTAATTGACGCACATGCACCCTCAATTAAATTGGTTTACTGCTGCTTTTTCTTGCCAGAGACTGGTCATCTATTGTTTGCTTTTGCGCTTGTAAACGCCATTTACGAAATGATTTTCGGACCCTTATACTGAACCTTTCAAATTATCAGGTTTTAAATTACTTCGGCCCTCTTGCACTGAACCCTTATATTTATCTGGTTTTATTTTTTTTTCCTAAAATCCTAAAATCAAGTTTTAAAGACAAAAAAAATCAAACATTTTGCGCAATTTTCACATCGCCGTCGGAGAATCTAATAAGAGCTCCGCTTGAAGAATGATTCTCGAAAGCAAAACTTTTATGATTGCAAGAAAAATAGTAACAAAATCCGACCACATTTTAATATATTTTGAAAAACATGCGAGTTTAAAAACGAAAACAGACAAGTTGACAAAATGCTTTTGAACTCCAAAAATCTGAAAAACAACATACTTAATCTACTGTTCAAAGAAAAATAGACAAAATTGCTTTAAAAAATTGCATAACCTTGAATTTTTTAATTTTCAAAAATTGCCTTTGATTGGTGCCTCTGATTTTACAGAATGACCCTTTTTGCAAAAACTTAGCCGAAAGATAATTTTCAGTTAGGCGGAAAGTCATCAATCTTATGTCTACTTTAGGACAATAAAGCCGCTATTATTTTCTGAATATATCGTTTCTTGTTATTGGATAGTGTGATTTGCCTTTCATTTAGCAACTGAACTCAAGTGAACCATTAAACAGATATAAAGAGATTTATTGAAAACAAACTTAACATTGCAAGAGAAAACATCACTTAATTCAGTAACACCTCCCGATACATAAAAAAAACAGTAGCTAAATTGGATTTATATGGCCACACAAAAACTAAATCTTAACATAAAACTTCAATCTGAACAAAAATTTCAGCACATTTTTCAAAGAGGAACAATATATTTCTCAATACCAATCACTGCCGAAAAAGCTTAAACACGATTCGTGTTGAAGCTTTTTCGACAGTGATTGGTATTGAAAAATACCTTGTTCCTTATTTAAAAATGCGTTGAAGTTCTGCTAGTTGATGTAACTAATTAACCCAAAAAAAGAACACCTACTAGCATATGTTTCATAACATTCAAAGGTTTGTCCGGGCAAAGATCTGATAAACTTTTGAAATTAAAACTCCCGAAAGTATTTCTGCGCCATATCGAAACATTCATATGCAAACGCAAAACTTAATCTACGCTAGCAAAAAGCTTCGAAAAAGGAATCTCGGAAGTTATATACATCATTTCATTTGAAAAAATAAAAGACATCAAGAAAGTTTAAAACTTTTTTAAAATAAAATTAGGGTTGCTGCGATTCACAGAAGATCTATGAAAAGCTATGAACTCTGTCTGAGCATTAGACTGTTCCTATTACTTCGCAAATTCTAGAGAGTCATTTTGCTCAGCGAAGCTCGTTTCAGTGACTCAGGGCCGTTCTTTCGCGCCTTGAGCTTTCACGTGATACCACTGTTGCAGCCGAAATCAGTAACGCTGCGATAGACTTGAAGGTAGTGGTCAACTTGAGAGCTCGTCCTCACCACTATCACTGTCATGGCAGGGGATCGAATAAACGACAGTCTCAAAACGAAAACCTAACCACTATGCCAAGGCCCTCCTTAGAAAACGCTATAAAAAGAGTGAAAGAACTCCAGCTAGATCTTTGAACTTAGTTATAAATTCTAGATTCTAGTTTTAAAAAGTGGTGATATTAGAAGCAGGAATGAACCGAATAAATGCCAATTTTTGTTTCCAAGAATCTTTTCAACAGATAGTTAGAAAATTGAAGATAAGATAATCTGAAAGTAAGCGTATTTTTTCCACCAATTTGAAATGCAATATTGTAATTATTAAAATTCTCAATAACTAATTTTTTTTCGTCAGCTGCTTTTAGATACAGCTTGCATTCAATTGATACTGATCTTCCACTAAAATCAGAAGCATATGAATATTTCATTAAATGATAGTTTTGAAGTTTACTCATATCTTACGCCTCCTTTACTTAAAACACAAAAACATTCAACTGCTTTTCGTTTCATGTTTTGTTTGATGATCACTTACCGTTTTGTTTTCAATCTTCAGCGGTTTCCCAAAAAACAATTATTTTTTGGTAATGAAAATCAGAAGGTTGACTTAAAACGATAAACAAGGAATAATTTCGAGCGTAAAACAAGAGGATTTTAACGCATATCGTGTGGCACTTTTCATAACTGCGCTTCAATAAAATTCAGCAACAAACAATTGAAGCGGAATTAAAAAACAATTGGTAAAAACATCACATATCTAAAACAATATTCAGTTGAATCCTTTCAACGCAATTCGATTTTCTGCAGTCTACTTCTTCCCAACTCAAAAAGCAAAAAAGAGGTTAGGAAATTGAACACATTTTAAATTCTACAAAATTTGATGTTACACGGAGTTCCAAAATAACATTTAAAGACATAATTTAAATCAGGTTGTGATATTTTATCAATTAAGAAACATCCCGAGCAATTGCCATTATTAAATACATTCAAGGATCTTTTTAGGACTCTGATATAAAATATAAAAATAACTGATAAGGTCAACTTAATCATAGCATATTTTTCTCATCTCAATTGTACGATAAAAAAACTGAAAAGTGAAAAAATTTTCCATAATTGTCAACAACTTTACCGACATTGCAACAAAATGAGGCTTAATCCCTAATGAGGGACAAATCAAGCAGATATTTAAAAATTTTTTGACTGTTCTAAGCAAACTATATAAGAGTATGAACTATGTTCATCGACTCTTAAAATACGGAATTTGGAAAAGAGCCTTTTGAAACTCGATTATCAACTCCTAGATTGTACTTTCTAAAACGTATCTTAAGAAACAATTTAAAGAAATTTCTCAGTGTTGCATAATTATATTATCTAATTCAGATACCAGATTTTTTGCTAGCTTTGTAACAACAAACCATGGTCCAAAATTTCAACCAGCAAAAAAAATCTTAAAAAGATCCTTTTATAATTGATTATATTACAATTACAAGAACGGATTTGCTTTCATATTTGCCGACGCCGTGTTTTGCTGTTGATTGGGCCACTGCATTTGGGGAAAAGCGGCACCAACAGTTGCACTCTGATGAGACTTTGACGGCTGAGTCATTCCTGCAAACGGGCCAATCCCTCCCCCTCCCCCTCCCCCAACTGCAAAACTACTCTGCATGTTTTGATTTGAGACTGGCACTGGCGACGGCCATTGATTTTGCTGTGAAGTGAAGCCATTTGAAGTGATAGAATTTGCATACGGCGTGAAATTTGTTGCATTTTGAATTTGTTGTTGAGCTAGCATAGGATTCGCAGACATTTGAGAATTCATGTTAAATGGAGAAAACGGCTGTGCGTTTGAAGTCATATGAGCACTATTTCCAGCTGCGAACGCATTAAAAGATGGCTGCTGCGCAAAAGTTTGATTCTGATAGTTGACCATATTTTGACTGAAGTGTTGCGATTGGGCATTGAAACCAGTGTTTTGGCCAGAGACCCCAAAAGCACCAAACTGCTGATTTGGGCTCATTGGGGCGAACCCACCTGGAACAGGTGTGGTGAACTGATTAGGAGCTGCTGATACCGAAGTTTGACCTTGAGAAAACTGTGACCAATTCGGGTCCGCAAACGGGTTGCCAGCTTGTGCTACAGATGAGCCGGTGTTGAACGGGTTCACATGAGCTATTGGATTGGTATTAACATTTTGCTGTGTTGGAATCATGTTACCTTGCTGTGGCGGAAGATGCATTCCGCTCGCTCCTCCTGATACAAACATGCCAGAAGAAAAAGATCCCGAATTCGAAAGTCCGGAACTTATTGGGTTGCTATTCGGCTGTGACATGTTATAAAAAACCCCACCGCCTCTAGGAGAGTTCGAAGATGTTATATCATTGGACCATGGTGTCTTACTGGAACCACTTTTCAGTTCTTCGTCAAGCGATGCTAGCACAGCATATTTGTCTTCATTTTTCGGAGTTGGATTTACAACTGCAGTTGGAACTGAGGTGTTGGGCTTTGCTTGAACATTCGCTTGAGACGCGCTTGGTGCCGTTACGCTCATAACAGGTTGGTTATTTAGGCTCATTTGGCTGAAATCAGCCGCAAAACCAGAAGTAGCATTACTGACCGTGGGTTCCACAAAACTGGAGAATCCTGCTGGAAGTGTTGCTGGAACTATACTTGGTTGACTCTGATTTGTTGACGGAAAATTTGCGAACAGGTCAAAACCATTTTTGTTTGTATCGCCTGCATTTGAAGCAAAAGGATCATTTGAAGTAACTGCAACTTGGCTGCTACTTGAAGCATTTCTCGACTCGACTTCTTTCTGTTGTTGTTGTGGCTTGTTCTCCATAGGTTTTTCTGACTGACTTCCAAATATCATATCCAGCTGATTTTGATTCGACACCATTGTCGACGACTGTGATGCTCTACTACCCCCGTTAGGTGCTTTGTTAGCCTGGGCCTGCCTTGCGGCATCTAACATGACTTTATTGCCACTCCTTGAATCACGAGAGCTGGCTGGGACTGGAATTGAAGGTTTAGAAGCACTCGGCGCTTTCGATGCTGCTTCTTTCAGGGTAACCACTTCTCGCTTCTTCCGCGCTTGTTCATATTCTTCCATTGCTTTTGCTTCCGAAACATACCATAACTTCTGTTCATACTTTTTGTGAAGAAAGTCTCTTAATTTAAGCTCGTCTTTTGATTCCGGGAAAGCTTCCACTCCATACTTCTGCTCGTAGCGACCCATCCAGACACAGTAGCACGCATCATTTCCGTGTTTCTGGATAAAATCCATCTCTTCAGGTGTGAATGAGGCCATGGACACCGACTTAACTCTGTGAGGCGAACTCAAACCTCGAAGCAGTCCACTGCATGATGTGCACACAAAGGCTCCAATGGTCATGTTAACATACACAGGTCCTCGCTGTCCGCAATCGAAGCACTTTTTGTTGCAGTCCTGAGCCAGGAGCTCCTTGAGGATGTTGTAGTGCTTCTCGTCCTGCTTGCGCTTAGCAGAGGCCGACGCCGATTGACTTGGCATGGTAACCAACAACTGGTTGGACTCAACTAACTTCTGAAACGGAATCAAAATACAGCCAATAGTGGATTTAGAGGGTGGAATTCGACCCGGTGACCACCCAACGGGTCCACCGTTGGCTGGCACCATTTTATGACATCCATTATTGGCCGAGCAAACCTGAAAACTCTCTAGAGGTGTCAATATATCCTATACTTGAGAGCGAGATGTTATGCGCGACGAAAAAAAACACACACTTTTCTCAAAAAAAGGTATTTATGGTGCATTGAAGAAGTTCAGAAAATCAATTTGGTCGACCTTAAAAGTCGAAAATTGTTCTTCTACCAATTCAAGTTTCAATAGCAAATTATTTTGACGACGTGTCATTGTTAGACGGCGAATTCAAGCTCAAAAATTCAAATACAATATATACAAGCAGACAAAAAACTATTCCCAAACAAAGAACTAAGGATAAATTATTGGAAAAACGTACACATTATATATAGTTGACTCTGCATTCTCCGTTATACGAAGCCTCACGCTGTATCCAACGAAAACAGAGCAATGAAACGAAAATCACTTTGCTCTTATGTGTCTACTTGAATTAACTCGCTTGGAGTAGCTTCATTTGTTTCATCAGTTGGTTAAAACTTTCTACGAGAAAAAAGAACAAAAAAACAAACAAATTGATGAAAAACCATTTTGTTCAGCAACTCTTTACGCAACCCTTTATATTAGACACTGCAATGATTCAGTCCGAGTTATAAAACAGGCATACATGTAAATATATACACCCGGACAATTAGATTTGCAAATCAAGTATAAGCATTCAAACAAGCAAATTTAATACCCTATTCGTTAAAAATCGGAAAAAAATCCTTTTGACAGAATATCAACCCAACCCAATAGCATGAAATGACTTTGTCGGTGATGTTAACACACAGAATATGTTCGCAGTAATGCCAAATATTTCAATGAAAAATTAACCTTAGACCGTTCGGGCTCCGCTATTACTGTCTACGGCTTTGAAGCCAATGTATTCTAAGCCGGTCAACCGTCAAAAAATATGGGCTCTATAACTTACTTATGAACTGGGTTTCGCAGCGATGTTAATCGAAAAATTTCGTTGTATTGGCTAGTTTTTCAATGAAAAATTACCATTAGAACGTTGGGGCTCCAAGTTATCTCACAGGCTTTGAAGACAATGTTTTCTAAGCCAGTCTACAGTAAAGTAAAGATATCAGTTTAAAGCTACTAGCGCGTCAACTGCATTACAGTGCATCACCCATTGGTTAATCTGAAAAGTCCTTCCTAATGAATTCAATTTCTTAAAACGTCTCAGTAGTAAAAAACAATTAACATTTTAGGGCCTGTACTTTGGCAGGAATGCACGTTGTTTCCCGTTCAATGCTTTTGAAAACTAATCGAACATGCTTTTTTCCATTAAAAATGGTTTGCAAGGCGGATAACTTGGGCGAAATAGAGTTTTTTATTATACGTTTCGTTATCCTCGTTTAAAATATATATATATACGTTATAAGCAAACTAACGCATGACTAGCATTTACGGTGCTCCAAAAAGATTGTTGAACGTAAAAAGAGCTTTCTAATTCATGTAGTAAATCAGTGATAATTAATACAACCGTGAAGACAAACTGGGCTAATCTATCAGGGGTTCCTAGTTTAAAAAACGCTATATCTTAAAAACCAAAATGCTTTGAGCAGAGACTATAAAAGGGCAAAACTGCTACCTTAAATTTTAACCTGACAGCACCTCAGCATAGGGTTGAGAAATTCAATTTCTACAAGTTGCATTTTGAAAATACCATGAGAAAATCCATATCTTGGTAACAAAAAACGTTTGAGCAGAAAAAGTTAGACCAGACTTGTTCCCTGACAGTACCCCTTGAATGTACCCTGACAAAACCCCACTATTAGGGTTGACAATTTCAAGATCGATTAGTTTGTTTTTTAATTGAACTTTTTCTGAAAATTTTTTTTGAAAACATAACAAACGCCAAGCCTAGAAAACCAAAAAGACTTGAGCAGTCATAATTGGACACCAGATTTGCAACCCCTGAATTTACTCTGACAGTATCTCACTATAGGGTTGAGAATTTCAAGTTCGGTTAGTTCATTTAAATCTAAAGTTTTTGAAAAAAAAAATGGAAACATGAAAACGATAGGTCTCGATAGCCAAAAAGATTTGAGCAATCAAACTTCAAACTTGGAAAAAATGAAACTATCATAAAAAACGCCAGGTATCGAAAACCAAAACGATTTGAGCAGTCATATTTGGACACCACCCAACTATAGCTTTGACAATTTCAAGTTCGGTTAGTTTTCTTTACATCTAAATTTTTTGAAAATAATATGAACAAATAAAAAAACGCCATATCTCAAAGACCAAAAAGAGTTGAGCAGTTATCTGAAGGTAATCTGGCAGCACCCCACTTTAAGATTGAGATTGCCAAAATCGATTAGCTTTTTATACATAAGTTTTTTTGAAGAAATTGAAAACATCAATAAGAAACGCCATGTCTACAAAACCAAAAGAATTTGAGCAGTCATTCTTGGACACCAGATTTGCAATTTCTGAATGTACTCTGACTTCATCCCACTATAGGGGTGAGAATCCTCAGTTCGTTAAGTTTTTTTATATCTAAGTTTTTTGAACAAAAAATAGAGAAAATCATATAAAACGCCATATCTCGATATTTTAACAGATTTTATTCAACAGATTTTAAAAAAACGACTTGATTTAACAATTGAAACCCTTGTATTAGTTTAGCCAACTAACAGACCATTATGGCGATTTCTTACACATGCTCCGTGTGAAATTTCTTGAGCATTTCAATATAGGATATAGCTATAAGGTGCAAAATTCTTTCGTTAAACAAGCAAAAATAATGTCAACATAGGGACTTCTTAAAAATGTGTTAAGTGATAGTCCAATTAAATAAAGAACTGATGGATGATTAGATAGCTAGAAATATAGATTTCGAAATAAATTTTGACCTTGAGACTTTTGACCTTGAGTATTATTACGTGCATGTTTGATAAAAGGTTTTACGTACAAAGTCTATGCACTATAAAATATTTGTTATACGTAAAATGTCTATGTACAGCTTTTACTTATTTCAAAAATGTTCATTTAGGGATTTCTTAAATATGCGTCGCATGAAACGCCAATTACATAATAGATAGATAGATAGATAGATAGATAGATAGATAGATAGATAGATAGATAGAAGATAACAGTTCTACGACTATAGGTTATAACATACAAGTTTCATACGAAAAAAAAACACTGATTGTTGTCGATATATACAAGCGATATGAAATGCTAAAAGTCTAGACAAAGATGTCATACCAAAAACTCTCAAGACAAAAGATAACATTCGAAAAGATCCAGAGATGTATGAACGACAGAAGGGATCATATGCACTAAAACTTTGGATAAACATACTGCCGGCATGTGGTTAACTCAGTGATAATATGGTATTGAATTAGAAAAACTCAATTAAAAAGGTATAAATTTGGGATTCATTATCTCACTTTTTAAGTAATTGAATAGTCAAAAAGGATATGTTTTGCTTAGGTAACCTCACAAAAACCCGAACACTTCTTATTCTTGACGGCCATGGATTTCAAAAGAAGTGCAAAACAAAAACAACATTAAACTAGGGTTGAAGCAAATAGGAAGCAAATAAGTGCCCGAAAACTTTAATCTCATGTGGGCCCAATAACATTCCAAACTGAAACGAGCATAGTCACGAACTCAATGCAGGAGGCTCATAAGCTCGAATATTAGTTCAGCAAATGGAGGAGACAGTCTTGAATCAATTAAATCTGGTAAAAAGCCAGATCATTGCATCTAGTTTACAATTGATGCAGGATGACAAGGCAACCCAACCCAACTGTACTTGCAATCCCGGTCGGTGATAACGCGAACTCTTAACAAAAGTAAACAAACGACATCCCAGATGACCGCCATTTCGAATTACCAGGTCGTTTTGAGCAATTGTCTTTTCGATAGCAGAAAACAAGATACGGTGCGCATATTGGTTTTCAGCGATATTGAGAGCCTCAAGGCACTCAAATTGATTTGTCAGAAAAATATGTCCATTTTTGTCATAGATGAATTTGATTGATTGGAAAACTTTTCAAGTTTATTTGTAGTCTAGACTGTTTTGATGTTAGAGTTTCAATTTGCAGACCAAGTGATTAGCAAATTAATTTATGTACGAAATTTGAGCAGCAACAGTTTTGTCGTTTCTTTGATTTTAACCGACGCTTTGTTTTTGCTTCGGTTGTTTTCAAATTCTTTGATGCTTTTTCTGGGTCATTTTATCATGTCATATGCGATTTTAGAACGAGGTATCTTTTGGACTGGTACCTTGGCGGCTAGGATCTTCTCGTAATGGATGGGACCTTAAGGTAGGGGATCTTTTGTCATGTAACCAAAATGCAAAACTAAAACAGCGGCTGGGGTATTTAATATTGACAACAAAATTTATTTGAGTTATTATAGCTAATCATTCTGCCGATCCAGGGCTTAGACATAACCAGATAAACTGTGTAAAAAACCAAGAGTCACCAGAAAAAGTTTATATAAGTTTGCGCACCAAAAAGGCAATGACTGTAAGATTATAGCATTCGCACTACAGCAGATGTATGTTTAACGTCAATATAATTATCCAAGTTAACATTCAATAGCTGGTTATAAGAAACAAGACAAACTTCCACATTCGACAATTTGAAGCCTTGACTTCAGTAAATTTTTGAAACATTGCAAAGGCTTCACAATTCAACGTGCTAACAAGAAGACTTCTTAAATGTGCCACGTGTAATTAAATAAATTTTAAAAGATATATTAACCTAAATAGCGCTTTAAAAAGAGATTATTTAAATTTACATAGAGCTAAAGAACTTTTTTGAACTTTTCTAAAAACAGCAAAAACGCCTTAGATTCAAACAGAAAACTACACAAGGATAGCTGGTTACTGTGCAATTATTACAGAATGTTCCGACCATAGTCTTGAAAAAACTAC